TCTGCTGCATCCTGAAGCAGCAAAACCATTTGAAAGTTCAAAATATGATCCTTGCAAAGGCTATATTCAGTAAATTGAACTTACTGAATCACTGACATTTGCCAGGATTCATAGCTCCCATTAATCCACTTGTTAAAGCATTTGTACACTGCTGTAGAAGGTACCATACAGGGAATATTACCTTTTATAGTATTTTATTATAGTTAGCATGCTTTTCATTAATATTTTCATAATAATGTTTGGGAAACATATGTATAATGCAATATCTTGAATAAATATGACTAATTTGCACAACAAAAAGTTGTAGTTTATGTCAGTGCTGGGTTTCTAATTTAAAAAAACCCTTGTGAATAATGAAGTAAAATACGCTTGCTAGATGAATCATGCAGTTCAGGGAAAGGCATCACTTTATACATTCAGTTTGCAAAGTAACTGCTTTTGGGCTTTTATATATTTCAAAGGTGACACTGGGACTGATATATAGATGCGTCTTGTGAACCTGATTGATGCGACTGGGATTTGGTGGGTTGTGGAGCTGGCCTGTTGATATTCTAGTACTTCTCAGATGTGATTCAGTGAAAAAATGAATTCTAATGTCAAGAATTTAAAGAAAATTAGCGTGCTTTTTATGAAAGTCGGGGAAACAAAAAAAGAGGAGGTTTCTTACTTTATTTAATTAAATTTAAATACAATTACAGAAATTTATTCCAACTCTTGCAGACTGTTTTTGAGTATACCAGACTAAATAGAAAGCATTTCACATAAATTATTACAGTTTTAGTGAAAGAGCTAGAGAATGACGTGAGCAAAATTTATGTAAACATTAATGCAGCCAACACCTAATTCTTAGAAAAACAGCTACTGTATCTCTATCAACAATGTACTTTCACTTTAATGAAATTGTCATATATGAAACTCCTCGTCTACAAAACAAGGAAGACTGTCTTTTCAACTCCAGGAAACCTTTGTGTCAAACACTTCAATTGCAACAGCTCCTACTAACCAAGTTCTGTTACTGCTGATTTAAGTCAGTTGAGTGTTTTGTTTACAGTGTTTAACTTCTGGTAAGAGATGAATTAAAATTGCCACTAATTTTTTAAAGAGAGAGAAACAAACTCCAGCATGACATTTCTACTCTTTGAAATACGGAAGGTTATTTAAATATACTTTAAGAACCACGAACTAAAGAGGTATAGCTATGTCAACAGACAGGTTCTATTTTAACCTTTTCTCTTTGGCTGAGGGCCATATCTCAACTACAGAATATTCTACACAGAAAAAGAGAGAGAGGTAAAAAAGAACAGCACTTAAAACATTAGGTAATTTGTCGATGTCAGACTGGGAAAAGGTTCAACTTTATATGCTGGTGTGTTAGATGAGCTTGGTGTGTAGAGATTCAGGATACTCTCAAAGAATATGAAACACTGCAAGTTTTAGTCTAAAGCAAAGAAAAACTGGTTTTACCGGTCCTTACATGCCCTTGCCCTAAGTTGCATCTATTTGTGGAAAGACATTAACAGAGCACAGGTAAGTTACCTAAGAAAGTTAGGTAACTTACCTTAGCTGTTTTTTAAGCAAAAATTGAATACTTCAACTAAACTGACATCAGCTTTTAAAGATGAAGAAAGAGGACACAGTTAGGAGTAATTTCTGCTCATTAGAATATTTGCTACAAAATTTAGAGGTGACTGAAACCTGTCTGCAGTGTAAACATTAGCTAGAGTCTTTTTGTGAGCTTACTACCTTTTATTCCTCTCTAGTGACCCTACTACAACTGAACAAATTTGAATATATCCCCATATTTTACTTACATTGCTCAACTTTACTTGAGCGATACCTTGCTTTATTGTAGGGATCAATTTTAAATATTAAAGAACTGTATTTATTATCTAATTTTGCTTTTATAGTAAGTTTACTTAGTACACATTTTCCAAAGCAGCCTACTTGATATAATCTCACAAGTCAAGGAAAGCTACCTGAACCTTAGTATACTCAGATACCAAAACCAAGCAGAAGAAAGGAACCAACACAAGCCAACTGTATTCAAACATGATTATTATTCATGCCCTAGTGAACTGAGTTAATGAGCAGCATGCTGGTTCCAGGAATAGCTTTTGATATTTGTGACAATTACAAGGAAACTAAGATAAATGCTCAGTTTGATGAAGCTGGGGTACATAAAGATTTAGAAGGTTGTCTTGCAAGGTTGGATACTACTTATTTTTTCCAGTAAAGGTTTAGTGTCAAAAAACCCATACTAGCCATATTTGCAACTGGTATGATGCAATACAGAAAAATTATTTGTATATGAAAGGGTATGTCTATTATAGAGATGATTTGTGAGGAGTATGATTCTTCAAAAAGAAGAGCTTGAATAGCACATCCTATAGAAAAGTGCTAAGGACATATTAAAGACTGAATTAATTAAACTGTGATAAATCCAGAGAAGATATATGCTAAGAAGGTGAGGGTTTTAACCTGAATGGTTATATTATTATAATAATATTATAATATTTTATATATATATATATATATATAACAAAACATATTTAACAACTTTTTTTTATAGAGATTTTCTGGATCTGATCAGAGATCCATCTTTCTTTACAATACATGAGAAAACTGGTGATCATCTAAAAGTCTGACCATTTATGGCTGTGTTGAACACTAAGTTATTAGTGCTGACACATACACTCGAATGTATAAACAACAGCTAAACTTCTTAAGCATTTTTTCTTGTTGTATTTAATACATCTCTCTGATGAGAGAATAAAAGATACTGCAGCATCATTGTCCCTTATGCACCTTCCTCTCATGCTTACAAAAACACTCCAAAAGCAGCAATCTCTGCTGGTGATAAATCAACAGACATTTTGACTTTTACAAGAAAGCAGGAGTGAAGGCAAGCCAAACACATTGCTGACTTGGTATCTTGAAGTACAGGTAATGGAACATAGGGTAAGAGGTTTTGATGGACTTACACATTATTTTTCAAACACAGGCATTGTTACACATCACAAAACTCAGAAAGAACTGTAACAACACTGGCGATAGAAGTCAACACTTTATGCAACATTTCAACTTCTCCGTAGAAGTCTATGAAGAACTAATAGTAACTAAGGCCTGAATTTCCAGTATTTTCTGTGATCTCCTTCTATCACTTATTAGTCCAGGTAAAAATTTAGTCTGAGAGAATATAGGGGGTACAGAACATACAAAACCAGTTCTATAGGTACTGGGATGAATGAATACAGCTCCAGAGGGACCTCTTTTTTTCTCTGATTATATGTTAGGGGAATAATCTCATCTCTGTGCTTAGTTCCCATTCCCTCACTTTGGAGAGAATGAAACTTTTTAACTAGCAGGTTAAAAACGAAGTTATGTATTGTTTAGTAATCAGTGAGTATCTGGAAATGATCAAGTGATCTTCAGTCAGTAATCATGTATCTATCTTGGAAATATCACTCTATAAATGACATCCTACTTAGCCAAAATTTAATCTGATTAGCTTCATTGTTTCTCTCCTGCCCTTGCAGAAAAAAAAAAAAAAGAGAATATAAGCACCAAAATTGAAAGAAGAAATCAAGGTTGTGACACTCACTCAATGCAGGGCAGAAGAAAACTGAGGCTTTCTTCTTGGCCTTCATACTTATATTTCACTGATGCCTTTTCCTACCAATACTCTCTGGATAGTCCCCTTTATAATTCCATTACAAACCTCCAGCTTAAATACCAAATGCATTTCTGGGCTCTTTACCTTACAGGGGATAGAGCAGAACTGAAAAAGGCCCTGAGAAGGGAGAATAATTTGCTTTTCCTGATAGTGTTTAATTGCAAGTATCTTATTTTTTTACCCCATCCTTCCTTTTTCTTGCCAATTCTTCTTCTGAGAGCACAGATACAGAAAATTCATTTTAACAAATAAGAATTTTTTAATTGGAGTGGTAGTCTTATTTTCCTATGACACTGCTATGGAGCGTGCTGAAGTCTGGTTGTTTGAAAGATCCACTTCTCTCATGTTACACAGAATCTAACACTTACTTAAATAATGCTTACAGGTGAGGCTGCTAATCCTTCCTCAAAATATCTAGGCAAAAAGTGTAGAATTCTAAGAACTGGCAGTATGTAAATATACTGTGGTATGTTTATAAATTATTAATTAGCTATCAGGTGTACAAAAGCTCACCTTGCATAATAATGTAATTTTGATGAGCTATACTATTTTTCCCCCAAATTGTACGTTTGCATGTATACTTTTTATAACTAAATACCCTTATATATCTATATGCACATGAAAGAACTTAAACAAATGCTTGTTTCCTTGGAAGTTTCCCATGTAACACCATCTTGAATGGAATTTGCATTAAGCCCACGGCTTGGACTGAAGCAGTTGCTGCTGATTCTCTTCTTCTCTTATCTGCTTCTAAGAAAAAAACCACATCTGCTTAGATTTTTTTTCACTAAGCCTAAGAATGCTGTATCTAGATCAAATAAACTCTGACCCTTGAATAGTGGAGTTGTGGGACTCAGTTTGAAAGCAAAGTCAGCAGGACAAAGTTTAATCTACAATGCATTACCAGACACTACAATTCTGATGGAAGATTGTAGTGCTAATATAATATTTCAATTAAATTACACATTGAGACTAATGAAGTTTTCAACTGTTGGGTTCTCTTTGAGAACAGACCCTTCTTTAAAGTTCTTGTAAAAAATAATCGGTTAAGTCTAAAGATGAAATATAGCTGCCACACACTTTTATAGGTAACAGGCATGAGGGATTGTGTGGCTTCCATGCCTCGTTGTTTTATGGGTGTTTCTCACTGCTGGATCCATCTAAAGATGCAATTGGACGCTCCTTATTTCTTGTACTTGCCTTCTAGAATTGATACACCATGTGTGCAAAAACCAACCTGTAGTAATACTACCACTACTATACTTTGCACTCTACTACTGCTAATGTGTTAATATGCTACTGCTTCATGCTAATTTCTGCCTTTCAGTTCACATGCAATTTTTCCATGGTAACATGCAGACCACACTGAGGCTGATACATGTTGCAAAGGCAAACGCAGTTCACAATAGTAAGTGCTACATTAATAACTGCTGAATGTAAAAACTACATTTTTAGTCTGATAACTAGTAAGTTTCCAATGAAGAGGGAAAAGCTTTAAAGGAACAAGGTTAATGGTACATTTCAGTCATATTCATTCTGTCAGCGTTAAGGTGGAGCAAAGCAAACTCTTAGGTAAAAAAAACTAAACCGCTAACAAACTTGGATTATTTCAGTGATCCAATTTGCAAAGCAGACAAACAGATCTTTATATAAGGGTGCAGGAAGGAAGCTACAGCTAACAAGTGGGAAACAAGTAAGAACAAATAGATTTGAACAGGAATCTTGGTGGTTCAAGAAGTCTGAAAGTCTATATTCAGACACTTAATAAATCTTCAGTGCCCAAGTCTGGGCTTTGCTCCAGCCCTTTAAAAATAAAATAAAATTACAAATTAAATAAATTATCTCTTTTTTTAAAGGTTGATATATATGAAACTAGAAGTCACATTTCCTTCTAGCAATAGGTATTATTTCCATAATTTATAGAAGTGTTATTAAAAATTATTTTTGTAATTATTGTCTGAGACAAGTCAGTGCAGTTCTGTATTCTTTTGTAGCATTAGTGAATGAAAACAATATAGTTACTTTTAGTATCTAAAAACAGCATTTTCTTTGACTTGTGTGCTGTGACCTTAAATATATGTCCACTTACACTGAAAAATGTCTCTTTTTTTAACATTTAAACAAAGCACTCTATCGATATTAGGATTAGCCAAATTTAAAAAAATCCAGCGGACTTCTAATGAACACTGATTTTTTTTCCTGAACAGTCAGAAACTCCACACAAATAACCTAAGATAGAAGTGACTAACAAAACAGCCATGGATTCCAACTTAATGGCACAGTGCCAGTCAAGCTGCTGAGTGATAAACATGGGACAAAAAAATTTGCCTACTGCAGTCATCAGAGGTTCTCTGATGTTTTACAGCAGCTGACCACTGGTGATTGAAGACTTTTGGATAGGAGAACATGACTGACATCCAGCAACTGGTCAACATAACTGCTATATGAAGATCTCTGCCCTAGGAAGAAACAGGCACTACAGATCAACTGCTGCACAGTAACGTAACTGCAAGAAGGCCAGAGGAAAAGTTAGACCTCTTGCTCTAACTTTTATTTTCCACACCCTCCACAATAGTATACTTACACAACTATCTTGCCCAGTCTTATCTGACCTTATATCTCTGCACAGTAGTTAGGAAAGGAGGCCAGGAAAAAGAGTTGTGAGTTATTCCTGCCTCTCAGTTGCACTTAGCATGTGATGGGATCTGCCAAATTTCACTGCTGAGTATCTGACAGGCAGCAGAGACAGAGCTGCTACTCTGGGCCCTCTACATGCAGGAGCAGTTCAGTTGTACGTGTCTAACCTGGAGTCAGGCAGTGGCCAAGAAATGCCAGTCGCAGGATTCCTTAAAGGGCAGTGTCCCTCATCCACCTCAGAGACCGGCCGGGAAAGCTGAGGCCCGGTTCGCACCAGCGCCACCTGCTGCTCGGCGCTGTCTGATGCAGCTCAACCACCGAAAATTTAAATCTTGAAAATTAATTACCGTCTGACAAACGCACCAAAATACAGCAATAAAATCTAACCCTCTGCTTATTTTCTAATATTTTCCCTTAATCTCTCTCTAAGAATTACTCTTTACAGTAGCTGAAGAGTGTACTGTACTGTACTTGCACAAAATACACTTGTATGCACACATGCTGGGAAGAAGTGTGGCTGATGGCTTGAAGGCTAGTAACATAAATAGGAACTAGCCAGCATAGAAGAGAATATGTATTTTGCATTATGTTACTCATGCTAGTGAAAATAGGTAAAAGGAAGCTGTTGGGTTTTTTTGTTTGGTTGGTTTTTTTTAAAGGAAATAGCTTCCAAAGTTCAGGCATTTTCAACTTTCCAGAATTACACAAATTGCCATGTTTTTACATTTACAGCTCAATTGCTATTGAATTTACAGCAAGTATTCTCCTATCTATAAATGCATGGATCCATACCCTGGGTCTCTTCAATACCTATATCGATCAATTTAGATATATCTTATAAAAGCTGATAGTTTCTGTTAACTCAAGACTGAATGGTATGATTGGAATGCTATGAAACTTTAATTCATAATATGAAAAGATTTGCAATGATATGTGTATTCAGACAACTAAAAGAAACTTATTACTGCTTATATTGTTTGACAGTTAAAGGTAACATGTTTAATACTTGCAATCTTTCAATGAATCACTCTGCTCTGGAATATATTTACCTTCTAATAAATGCTCGGTATGTGTTAAGTCATATTTTTAAGTGATTTTTCTCCTCCTTCTGATAACTTGTGATTGTTGATTGAGATATAATGGCATGTGTTCCATTAAAGTTTTTACCGCTTAAGACTACTTGATTCCAGTTTACTCAGGCTCAAACTCTTCATCTTTGTACAGGCAAAAGTATGTATAAAGGAGTTTCAAATACTAACCATTTAGATTCTTGAATACGTATGCTACACACTACATGCTCCTCTACTTTACCCTCCACTTGGAGGTCAACCTGCTGGAGTAAGGTCGCAGTTACTATAACAACTAGTTACAAACAACAACACAAGAATAAAGAAGTAAAGTGGTGTGTGATTGCTGCCAGTTTTAAGGGTCTCTATCTGTCATCTGTGGCAAAAACCCTCTTATGCCCTTTGAAACAAGAACCTAGTCTCACCAGAGACTGGTGAGTAAAAGAAAGTAATCATTACAAAAAAACCAAAACCGCCACATAAACCCTGTAACACTCTTACTCACAGATTTTGTTCCTTTATTTCTTAGGGAAGCAGATAAATAGCAGCTACCTCTCTTCTTATTCGTTTACTTATTTCTCTCCAGGTAAACTCTAGTAATGCAAAAATCCATGCATTTTTTTTCCTCCCGTAACACAATAAAATGAAAACTGTCCAGAGACATTTAAGACATTTCCTGTAAACTCAGAAATTGCTTTTAAGTTGATTTTTAATTTGTTGTTGGTGTAACTTGATACAAAGTCTCTTTTTGGTGTAATTACATTCCCTCATTTCAGGGCGAGAAAGGAGAAATAGACAAATGTAACTAACCTTTTTGCAGTTTTCTGGAAAAGAAACCTGGGAGAGGAAGCCTCAGTTTAAGGTATTCTGCTATTCTGTTTTCAATCAGCTCTATTATGTTTCTCATCCCTATAAGAGAAATACAATAAAAAGCCCCAAAACTACAGAGTGAGGAACAAGCTGCTGAAAAAACCCCAGGGTTTTAACACCTCTGTGTTACTTCATTAAGAAGTTTTTCTTACATTAACCCCATATTTCAATTAACATAGGCTATTCCTTACAGGTGAGTGTTTTTGAAAGTCTCAGGTAACATTTTTCACTCTAGTTAGTGAACACCTCTTTTGTGCTTAACTGCTCAAACTGCTTTGCAAAAAGTAATCAAGAAACTGAAGTCTGTTGTCAGTACAACTATTTGCTATACCAGAATCCGCAACTTCACTGAAAACTTGTCTGGGACTTGAAAAATCCAAAAGACTGAATGTTATTGCAAAGTTTAATCTCTTTTTAAAGTAGACATGAAACATTATCTAAAAAGTTACTTTCAGAATCTAATTAATTATTAACCATCCCTTTAAATTAAAGTTAGCAACCTTGCAGCTAACTTTTGCCTTCACCTGACTCTGGGAACACTTAGGATAATTTCACAGAATTGGCAATTTGGCTGTACAAAGTAATACACAAGGCTTTGAGAGATGGCTGTTTCTTAACACACCAAGTAGAACTTCACGTGACTGGCTATATATTTACTATTAATGCCTCTCTTACTTCAGAAGCGGAGCTGAAGTAACTCTGTCTACATTCATGAGTGCCTAAGGGAAACTTCCTGTTTGCAAACTACAGATGGTTGATGAAGACACAATATTAACACTTTAATTTCAAACTTAAACCTTTTCTTTCAAATAAGATGCAGTAATTTTAAGGTGTTTTCATTAAGCTTAAATTTGTGTAACAGGTTAGTTACTGTGCTAAGGAAATCATCCACTGAAATGTGAGCTAGACATTTAAGAATTTCTTGATTTTTATTATTGAACAAGGAAACATGGTTACTCTTTTCCACAATGATTGAAAATCCTTTCCACTTTTCTTCACAAACATTCTCGGCATCATAATCCCTGATACTTGGTCTTACAGATATTCTATTTGATTTGTAAAAGTCACGGTCTTTTTAGCATTTAAAGACAGCTATAAGTCATTTTTAACTTACATTTATATTAATCTAATTTCATTTTAACTAAAAAAAAGTAAAAAAATATTGCTGTAATTAATTATAATGAAAGAATATTTCATTGGTGAGAATTCACATAACTAAAGTGTAACTTGGTCTGCTCCCTACTGATTTTGATAAAAGTTATATAGCAAGGTAATTCTAAGGTGAGTATAAAACCAAAGTGCAACGTTCCCTGAAGAAAACTTAAACCAAAAAAATCTGCTGAAAATACAAGAAGAATCCTATAATTTTAATCTAACACAGAAGATCCGCCTCATGTATTAGAAAAAATACATTTCAATAAAACAGTATTGTTCCTCACCACTACTCTAACTTAGCTAAAGACAGACTGGAAAACAGCACCTTCTCCCCACAGCTCATAGAAAGGTCTCTCTTGAGATAAAATAAAACTGATACAGCATCCTGTAAATGACAGATGTGGAATCAAATCTACATTGGTGGATAAAACTATTTCAGGAAGCTTCTCACAATGCAGCATATTCAAATAAAACACACAAACACATTTTTGCCCTTATTTGACAAACTAAACTCCTGGGTATAAAAGTTACATAACTATTTCACTTATTTTGAAGAAATTGCACAGGCTGAACACATGTGTCTACTGAAAATACTACTTATGAAAGAAGACTTGCATTTTCAGAACTGAAGGTATTTGTTAGCTCAGGAAGCTACCAACCTGAATACTGGCTGACATGCTCACTTGTCAAGTGAGCAGATAGTATTAATATGTTGCATCCAACTGAAGAAAAAGGCTTCTGCATGAGAAAGCTGACATGCTTTCAACAAGTTTAATATTTTCCTTGCAATGTAAAGCTGAGAAAAGTTCTGATCATAAAAGCAAAATTTTTGGAAGTATCTCTTTAGGATCACAGATTTGTGTCCAACACCCGTGCTCTGAAAATGTTATCTAAAATACATACTTTAGAAATTCACTTACCAGAAATCAGTTTAGCATTGGCCTAACATTTTTTCCCCTATCAAAAGCAAAATCTTTGCAACAAAGATAAAAGTTTAGCTCTTCCCCGCCAAAACACCACTTAAACATTGTACAGAGGGTTAATATAAACACGTCTTCAGCAATTATGAGGCACTTTCTGAACTACAGCTCAAATCAGGTGTTGTGAATAGGAGTCAGTGAAACTATTGGGTCTGCCTTTTGAGTGTTCATGTGATCAGGCTTTTAGATGTTGCTATTTTATTGTTCACATAACTAAAAAGTAAGTTTTAGCATTACAGTGCTAACTGTTGTAAATGGGCTCAGAGAAACTAAAAAGTAATGCACCTGCCTCCAAACTGCTGAATGACATGACTGATGACTACAAAGAATATTTTTTCAACACTAAGAATAATAATAATGGCCCATCTTCGCGAACGAAGATTTGGGGAAAGGTCTTTTTACCTTTCCAGCCGGCGCAATGTATTTTTTAGGTGAGACACAGCCTGCGCTGAACTGAGCCCACCCTTTAATCCTAAGATGACTCTATAATTAGCAAAAACTCACAGTGGAATTCTTCCTTGGACCCACGTTATCATAAACTGCACTGTATGGATTCCACTGGCAAGTGTGGCAACGTATGGCCAAACCAGTAATCAGGCAGCTCGCAATTTACATACACAATCCTAGCTCTGAGCAAAACATGTTTCCATGTGTAATTAAATAAAACATAAATCTGAGCTTTTAGTAAAGTTTTGTAAGGGAGAGCACAAAAGATACACTGGCCAACACCAACTGATTTGATGATTTCAGTTCAGTTCTTCAGTACAGTGGTGTACAAATCACTAATTTTGAAGGATTTCCACATAATCAGCATGCTGTCCAAACTAAGACCGTTTACTATCCAGTTATGGATATTTAGCAGATATTTAAACAGTACCCTAAATAACAAGTTTAACCAGGGCAGTAGAGAGCGAGCGAGCTCCATCTTCCTTTTATAGTAACCGTGAGCAGGCAGTGCTCCCCAGTTTCAACAGATGGTTGGACACGTGCGTGTGCACGCCCTATTTTTCTTCTAAGCAAGTTACACGCAGGCTTTTAAACCACCACCAAGACCCACAGGTACATATGTATCCTATGGGCCGGAGAGGACAGGCCAGGACGGAGCACTTTCCACGCTAGTGGGTCACGCTGTGGTGGGACCGCAGGTGCTCCTGCGTCCAACCTCCGTCCTTACAGAAATCCCAAACTGGGCACAACATCCCCCCTCTGCCCCTTCAGATATCCCTTCAGGATATCCGCCTGTCCCCGTGGGAGCGGCCGTACGGAGCCGCCGGCCGCAGGACAAGTAGAAGGAGAAGGGCATGCGGCCGAGGGGCTCTCGGCCTCTTACCACGTACCATCTCGATGATCTTGGTCTTCTTACCCGTCTTCTTCTTCATGGTGAAGATGTACTGCGCCAGCACCACCCCGCCCACCAGCGCGCACACGCTGGCGCTCGCCATCGCTCCCATCTTGGCCACGGCGGTCCTGTCCATGGTAGTGGTTCCCGAGACCCGCGGCGGGGAAGCGCGTCCGCCCCGTCCGTGGAGGAAGGAGCGGGATCCCGGCGCGTCCCCACAGACCGCCGGGTCGGCAACGACCGCGCCACACGCGCCGCGCCGCCCCGGCCCCGCGCCGGCCGTACCACGCCACAGGGAAAGGGTGGAGGGAGGGGCGGAGAGAGGGGAAGAGGCGGCTGAAGCTGGGCCGCCTCGAGAGCGAGAGGTTCCTGTCAGGGGCTTTGAAAAAGGAAAAGCACAAGCTGTGGGGAGGTTAGTTTTCTTTTTTTCCTCCTTGCTCAGGAAACTGTAAAGGAATGCCTCTCTTCCTCCCTCTGCACTCCCCCCTCGTAGAGGAAGAAATGATAGAGCCCAACGGCCCGTGGCGCCGCTTCCCAAACTACACTTCCCAAGCTCCCTCCTGGGCGGGGCGCGGGGCGGGGCGCGGCTGGTACCGGCCGTGGGGAGAGCAGGATGCTGGAGATGGCGGCGGCGACGGTGGAAATGCTGCTGTAGCGCTGCCTCTCTGTCTCTCTGTGCTTCGCCTCGGGCCGCGCCTGAGCGAGGAGCACCTGTGAGGAGCGGGGCTGCCGCCCCGGGGCGGCTCGGACTGCGCCGTGCCAGGGAGCTGTCACCTCCCACCCAAAGTAAGCCCCCGCCGGGCTCTGTCTCCCTTGTCCCACTCCACGGGGATGTGTGGGTGTGTGTGTCCGGGGCTCGCGGCGGTGCTGTGGGTGCCGCACAGGGGCTCCGTGAGGGAGGGAAGGAGGGGTGTGTGGAGAGGGCAGTGCTGTGCCAGCCCGCGCTCGGCGGCAGCAGGTTGCCTAGCGGGCATAGCGACGGGAGCCGCCCGAGGGAATAAAGAAGTGCTTTAATTTTCTGGACGTGGTATCCTTTAAAGAGGAGAGGCGCGGGCTTGCAAGGCTGCGTTTGCTCCGAATCCCGTCTTTTTTCCTCCTTTCCGCTGGAGCTGCTGCTGGCTGGATACCCCTCGGCTCCTCTGCGGGATCGAGTGTGTCCAGGTTCATGGACATGGGCTGTGAGTTTTGAACTAGGATAACGTTATTGTCAAGCCGCCTACAAAAGGATTAGTCTCCTCGCTCCCTCCCTCCCTCCCCCCTTCTTAAAATAACAGCAGGTAGGGAGCAGAAAAGCTGATTTGTGCCCTGCGTGACCGAGTTCTTTAGTCGTGTCACTAGAGCATCTTCAAGGCGATTACCTGGTGGAGGTTTTGATGATGTCTGTTTATGCCTTCGTTTACTTTTCTAAAAATAAGTTCTCTTGCAGAAGATTTGCCTCATAATCTTTTTTTTTTTCTGACACTCCTTGGTAAGAGAGAACCTCAGTTCTGTGACTTTGAAAACTTCTTATTACTTAATGGTTGTAACAGAAGCCTTTTCACATTTTTTTAAAAAGCTGTTATTTTGTTACATTTTCTTCACATAACTAGCAGATTCTATCACAACTAATTTAACTAATGACAAGAAGATTCCTAGGATGGTTTCTTGAACTACACTGGAGTTAACGTTTATTCAGCTCACACTAGTGCAATGTGAAGCTAAGAGGTGTAATATACTTGATAAAAGCTGTTGCTAACAAAGGAGAAGTTGTTTGTATAAACAGTTGTGTATATATTAGTATACACTTTTGACAATGGTTTGTTTCCTTTTCAGTAAAGAAGAATGTCTTTGTTTAAAGCTAGAGACTGGTGGTCCACTGTACTTGGAGAAAAGGAGGAATTTGACCAAGGCTGCCTGTGTGTTGCTGATGTTGATAATAGTGGCAGTGGACAAGGTAAATTCAGAATTATGTGATTGCTGGCTTGTAAGCCACTCAGCTGTGAGATTGCTTTGACCTGAAAGCTTGTTAGCCAGGCTAGTTGGCTAGTTAAAGTCTGCTATCTTTAATGTGTCCTTGTAGGCTTAAGAAGACAAATTCAGTGCTCTCTGTCTTTTTATACTTGTACGTTTCTAAACATGTTAATCCTTGCTTATGTTCACTAGTAATTTCTCTCATGTCTTATTCCCTCAGTGGTAGATATCTTTAAAATAAAACATTTTCAGTTAGTCATGGAAGCAAACATGTTCCAAGCTGTTGTAGAAACCTAAGGGGAAAAAAAAAAGAAGGTAAGAGCTAATAAGCTAAGAATTTAGAAAAACAAATAACCCTTTTAGTCTGGAAAATAAGGGACAATTGCAATAAGTGACTCTGCTTGAGTAAACCCTGCTTTTCTATGTAGTCATTAATAGTGTGAAATGGCCTTTGCTGTCAGGGAAAGTTTTTTGTGTGTATGGTTTTTAAATTAATAAATACACTCATGCTCACCTTGGAGCTCTGTTTTTGCTCAGTAGAGCTACTTGAGTTTGATTTCATTACTACCATACTCTTCTAAAATTATTTTAATTAATTTTAGATTGTCCCTTTTCAGAAGAATTTGAATAAAGTTGAGCTGTTAGTTATGTGGTGTACAGCCTTTTTCAGTGGAAATTCATAGTCATTTAGGTTGCAGGAGATGTTTAACATCAAGTCCAACAGTTAGTACTCCGTGTTCACTATTAAACCATTTCCTTAAACACCACATCTACATGTCTTTTAAATACCTCCAGGGATGGTGACTCAACCACTTCCCTTGTCAGTTTCTTCCAATGCTTTTGGTGAAGAAATTTTTCCTAATATCCAATCTAAGTTGTGCCTCCAGACCCTTCACCAGCACTGTTGCCCTTCTCTGGACATGCTCCAGCACCTCAGTGTCTTATGGTGAGCTGAACACAGTATTAAAGATGCAGCCTCACCAGTACTGAGTATGGAGGCACAATCACTGGCCTGGTCCTGCTCACCATACCATTTCTGATACGAGCCAGGATGCCATTGGCCTTATTGGCCACCTGGGCACAGCGTGGGCTCATGTTCAGCCAGCTGTCGACCAGCATCTCCAGGACCTTTTTCACTGGGATGTTTTCCAGCCACTCTGTCCCCAACCTGTAGCACTGCGTGGGTTGTGACCCAAGTGCAGGACCCAACACTTTGAACCTCCCACAATTGGCCTTGACCCATTGATTCAGCCTATCCAGATCCTGCTGTACTGCCTTCCTACCCTCCAGCAGATCAACACTCCCACTTAACTTCATGTTATCTGCGAGCTTATTGAGAGTGCACTTGGTCCGCTTGTCCAGATCATCGATAAAGATATTAAACAGGACTGGCCCCAGTAGTGAGCCCTGGGGAACAGCACTTGTGATCGGCCACCATCTGGATTTAACTCCATTCACCACCAACCTCTGGGCTCAGCCATCCAGCGACTTTTTTATCCAGTGAACAGTGCACCAGTCCAAGCCACAAGCAGCCAGTTTTTCCAGGAGAATGCTGTAGGAAAAGGTGTCAAAGGCTTTACTAAAGTCTAGCTAAACAACATCCACAGTCTGCCCCTCATCCACTAAGCTGGTCGCCTTGCCATAGAAAGAGATCAGACAGGTCAAACAGAACCTGCCTCTCATAACCCATTGTTGGCTGGGCCTGATCCCCTGGTTGTCCTGTATATGGTGTGTGATGGCACTCTGCTCCACAACCTTTCCTGTTACCGAGGTCGAGCTGACAGGCTGGTAGTTCCCTGGATCCTCCTTCTGGCCTTTCTTGTAGATGGGTGTCACATTTGCTTATTTACAGACAGCTGTGACCTCTGCAGTTAGCTGGGACTGCTGATGAATGATAGAGGGTGACTTGGTGAACACTTCCACCAGCTAGATGGATCCCATCTGGCTCCATGGACCTCGGTGTGTCTAAGTAGTGTAGCAGAATACTGACCATTTCCCCTTGGATTATGGGGGCCTCATTCTGCTCCCTGTCCCTGTCTTCCAGCTCAGGGTGTTGCATAACCGGAGAACAGTTGTTCTTGTTCTATTAAAGACTGAAGCAAAGATGGCACTAAGTGCATTAGCCCTTTGTCACTGTGTTCCTCCCTGTATACAATAAAGGATGGAGATTCTCCTTGGCCCTCCTTTTGTTGCTAGTGTATTTATAGAAACATTTTTATTCTTTTATGACAGTAGCCAGATTAAGTTCTAGCTGGGCTTTGGCCTTTTTGATTTTTGTCCTGCATGACCTCAGCACATTCTCGTAGCCCTCCTGAGTGGGCTGCCCCTTCTTCTGAATGTCATCATCTCCGCTTTTTTCCCTGAGTTCCAGCCAAAGGTCTCTGTTCAGCCAGGCTGGTGTTATTCCCTGTAAGCTCATCTTTTGGCACACAGGGACAGCCTACTCCTGTACATTTTAAGATTCCCTTCATGGAGAATGTCCAGCCTTTCTGGACTCCTTTGCCCTTCAGGACTGCCTTCCAAGGGACTCTCTCAACCAGTCTCCTAAATAGGCCAAAGTCTGCCCTCTGGGAGTCCAAGGTAGCAGTTCTGCTAAACCCCCTCCTTCCTTCTCTGAGAATTGAAAATACAATTTTGTAATTGCTGTGCCCAAGATGGCCTCCAACCATCACAGCACCTACAAATCCTTCTCTGTTCACAAACAAGTCTGGTGGGGCACCTTCCCTAGTTGGCTCTCTCACCAGCTGTTTCAGGCAGATATCTTCCACACACTCCAGGAATCTCCTAGATACTTTCCTCTCTGCTCTGTTATATTTCCAGCAGACATCTGTTAAGTCGAAGTCCCACATGACAACAAAGGCCAGTGATTGGGAGATTTCTCCCAACTGCTTATAGAATATTTCATCTGTCTCCTCATCCTTGTTGGGTGGTTTATAACAGATTCCCACCATGAAAGGCCTCGCTGGCCTTTTCTCTCATTCTTACCCATAAACACCCCTCTCATCACCATCATTGAGCTCTAGACAATCAAAACACTCCCTACCATACAGGGCTACTCTACCACCTCTCTTTCCTTACCTATCCCTTCTGAAGCATTTATAGCTATCCATTGCAGTGCTGCAGTTGTATGGTCATCCCACAGAATTACCATGATGTTTCTGTCATGGCAACTATGTCATAATTTTCTAGCTGCACAGCAGCTTCCAACTCCTCCTGTTTGTTGTTTATACTGTGTGCACTGGGGTAGAATTGAGTTATTGATCCTGCCACCTTTTTTTGTGAAGTTCTAATTCTCTCGTGACTGTTCTCAAGCATTTCTGTGGTTTCTAGCATGTTAATAACCCTTGAGCCTTTGCTGACAAATTTTTATGAATCTGCAAAAAAGGTAATTCCTTATCTTAACCTAAAAGACAGAGCATAATCAACATTAATTGAATCGTGTCAATATACTATCTTTTTAGGGTATTATTTGAAACACTTCTGCAACAAATTGAATTCCACATGTGCTACTGTATTGTGTAGTATCCTTTGTGTTGATTTTTTTGTTTGTTTGTTTTTTAGATAAAGTTATTGTGGGCAGTTATATGGGATACCTCAGAATCTTTAATCCACATCCTGTGAAACCTGGAGATGAAGTACAGCCTGAAGACTTACTCTTGGAAGTGCAGTTGAGAGAACCAATATTGCAGGTGGAAGTGGGAAAATTTGTTTCGTAAGTAAATGGCTGGCTATTTTGTTTTTTTTAAGTTTTAGATGTGATTTTCTTCCTTTGTTTTGGAGGGCAAGTTTCCAGTTTTCAGATGGACAACTATTAGTCACATCTATGCGTCCTGTAGTATGCATTTGATCTGCTTCTTACATCATCTTGATATGAGAGAATTTTTACTTAAGGTATATATGGAGAATAATCTGCCAATTTGTACAATTTGATACTTGTACAATTTTTTAGGAGCATGGAGAACAGGAAGAACTTTATATTGAAAGTTATCTTTTAAGGTATTAAGAAAACTTGACTAACTTGTTATGATCTAAGATGTAATATCGGCCAGTTGTTTTCATTCTGATAGAGGACAGAGGACAAAAGATCTTTAATTCCAAAGAATTTAGTGGAAGTAGATGCCCAGGTAGAGGAAAGATACTATGACTGTAAGGAAAAGACCTTATATTTATTTGGCTGTAAGGGAGTCTACTTAGAAGAACTTTATTTTAGAATTTAGTTCTCAAAGGATGCATTTTAGTTTTGAAATTGACTTCTAATACTGCATCATGAACTTTATTTTAAAAATGAGAGAAAAACCTGTACTAAACATAGGAAAGACTGGTGCTCTGAGACCAAAGGGCACAAGCTGGAAGGCCTCCATCAGTTGGAAATTGTTCTTTTATTCAAGTACTCATGGAGCGACTCTGTGTGGGAATTCCAATGCCTTACTCCATGAAATGAACTAAAACATTTTCTAGAGTTACAGCACAAGTACTTTCTCTGCTGGAAATACTGCTTGGGTTCAGAAAAGAAATATGTGAGTGTTCAGATATTCCATGCAGCTAGTACAAAAGTGAATTTTAAAAAAAGTAGTGTCTGTGGTTGCTGAATAAGACTTGTTTGGAGCAGTGATCCTCATATCATCCTTCCATGAAGGAATAACAGCACCTTGTTTGAAATGAGTTTCCAGCTAAACTGGGTTGCTCTTGATATTTAAATCTGAAAATATGTTCTTAAAGGATTCATTTTGATTTTGAAATTAACTCCAAATACTTCAGCATGAATTTTGGAAGATCAGTACTTTTTTATGCTAGCATCTAACACCCAAACGTTTGCATTTGGTCCACACATTAAAGCAATTTCAATATGTTACTTGAATTTTATCCTGTATAAATTTTACTTGGAATTGATCTAAAAATAGTGGTTTTTTACCCTTCTTTACAGTGGTACTGAAGGACTTCATCTGGCTGTGTTGCATTGCCGAAAACTCTGTGTATATGCTGTTTCAGGTTAGTTTACAGATCCAAGCTTTCCAGTGATTTTAAGTGTATTCTAAAGTTTGGATTAGGTTAATGGTGAACTTGATATATGCAGTGTTTGCTCATCATCCCTGAATATCTGCAGTCATATTCTCTTACTTAAACTCATGTATGAGGAGGAAACATCAGTAATTAGGTCTAGATATTTCCCAGAGGTAAACAGAAGTTTGCTGATCTGCTCAGTGCCTGACATGCTGTGATGTGTGTGATGGTCTGTGGTTGGTAGTGATTGTAAACAACTAGTTCTCATTACAGTTTTAGGACTGGATGTTACTGTTGAACATGCTAATGTTGGTTGTATAGTGCCAACTTACTTAGCTCTCTAAAAATAAATAATTACAACTATTTCTGAAATCAAACCTCAAGGTAATTTCTTAGAAAGCCAGAACATTGGTAAGGTAGCCCATGAGAAGACAGAAGGTTAATACTGGTAAGAAGGTGAAACCACTATGTTTTTTCTTATATCCTTTTTCCTCTACTGCCTTTGGCTGGAAATTCTATATGATGTGTTCTCTCTGTGTGAAGAGGCAAGTCACAAAATACCTGTTCTGTGCATTGATTTCTATCTTCTATATGCTTAGAGCAAAGCACAGATTTAAGAGATCTATTAATTGTACACTCATCTTCAAAATTCAATAGGCAACATGGCATTGTTTGTTTTCTCTGTGCAGGGACATCTGTGGCTCCTCTGTCATTACAAGAGCATGGTTTTCTTGTAGGAGCAGCTTGCTTCCTGTTCACAGCCTTTTAGGCAAATACGTTACAAACACATGCTCTATTTTCAAATTGTGTTTGCCTATCTGGAGACACCTGTAAAAATGGTCTTTGTTGAGAGGTGACACTACAAGATCTACTGCAGTTTTCATACTTTCCCTTCTCTGTAATAGTGCTTATGTCTTAGGATTGTAGCCTACCAGTACAATTTTTATTAAAACAATTTTTTTTGAAATTTGCATTCAAGGCATACAACAGTGAGTCTAGAATTCTTTTCTAGGTATAATTTGCTGTTTGGTCTGCATGGCTTAAGCAGTTAAGTAATAATAAAAGTAAAATTTTGCAATCCTTAATAGATTTTTCATACTAATCTGTAAATATGCATGCTTTAATGGTAATTTCTGACATCTGAATAGGTACTCTCAAACAAGCTCCTTTGAGAAATAACTATCATTATTTCTTTATGCTTCCATGGCAAATTACATTTTCATAAAGTGGAATCTTTACTTGCTTTATACATGATACTGTGTCTGTTATTCATAATAAAATAACTATGCTGCTGCTCTTAACAAATGAAAGCATCCTTCAGGACTGACTGCAGTATGGCCTGGATGTTTTATTAGAGGCAGAATACACAGACTGACAACTTTCTAACTTGTTTTTCATCAAGTGCGGCTGATTATCTAGTTACTACTCAGCCAGGGCTTTTCCCCCTCATGTCTATTCCCATCTTTTCCCTAACATGGGCCTGATTTAGGGGTAATTGTTTAAAAGCTATATTTGATTTTAGTTGGAGAAATTGCTTAAAAGGTTAGCCTAAGCTACAAATCTTAGCATGTTTTTAAAGATGGTGTTGAGATAATCTTTGTATAGTAAAGCTGTGGTAGGATTTAGCTTATGTATCACTCACTCAAAACACCTTTTTCCCAGCTGATGTGACTATTGACAAAGGTTTGTTTGGTTTTTTTTTCTGCTTGCTATTATTAGTCTTTAAGTATTACTTTATTCATGGGGTGAAGAGTTTTGATTCTTAAAATGTGAGTTTTAGCTTTAGTTTCTTTACAAAGACTTTTTGAATTTCTGCTACTTCCCTGAAGGGGTCAGGAAGTTAAAATTCATGAACACCTTTTTGGAGAATGTGATGTATATCACAAAATTATTTTTGTTAGCATTTATTTGTCTTTTATCTTTGCATCGTTGATCACAACAGGGTGAGCCTCCATATCTCAAAGTCACTAGGATTAAGTTACAGGTTGTTTACGCTGGTACTCCTTCTTCCACAATGTGTGGATCAAAGTAATAAATATATACCCTTCATTTTTTGTAGGAACTCTGGGAAATGTGGAACATGGGAACCAGTATCAGATTAAGCTGATGTATGAGCACAATCTTCAGAGAACTGCTTGTAATATGACTTATGGTCCATTTGGTGGTGTAAAAGGTAAGGTCCTTGTTGTATATTCATTGTCATTAGTTGTTTAACTGCGAACTTAAAGTTTGAAAGGTGATGTGATGCTGCTGTCTAGAGGAAAACGTCTTTCTATGAATGGTGGTACCTTTTATCTGAAGGACATTGAAAATAATTGAAGTTAAAATGAGGCAAAGAATATTAAATGCAGAATAGTTGTTTTCTCACATTTTGAACTGGAGATGAATTTACAAGGCTAATATTGATTTTAAAAAACATGACAAAATCCCTGGCTCTTCCCTTCTGAAATACTTTAAAATCTAAAAATAATTGTTTTCTTCTGTGTTTCAATTCTGTTTTGCTTTTCTGCACTTGCTTATCCTGGACAAGTTAAGAAGTTAACGTCTTCATTTGCTGAACCTAAAATATCCAGTGTCTTGAAATATATGTAATGCAGATTTCTAAAAAAATACTTAAATACTTTGAAAAATGTAACAGTGGACAATAATATTTATGGTGTGTTTGTAGATTTCAATGAGTTTAATAGATATCAGTCTTTTTTGAACTTGTGGATGTTTTTGTGTTCCAATGTGGAACCATTTAGATTTGCTTTGCACCACATCTCTTTCTGTTCAGAACCGAAGTTTGCCCGATGTACTGGGGGGTGGCAGTCATCTACTAAAGTAGTGTCCCTAAACTGTTGGCAGAGTGATAGTCACTTTCCAAGGTAGAAAGTCTTCTGGGTCAATATGGCAAATATGTGCAGACAATCCCTCAGTTTCATGGGTGTAATAACCTTCTAGTAATAATGCTACAATGCCTTACCCTAAGCTCAGGCTTGTCGCTGGGCTTCAATTCAGCTGACCAAAATTTGTACTGATTGAAGAGATTTTCTCTTACTAATTTCTTACAACCACCTTGGGGAAAATGGTCAACTCATGTGGGTGAGAAGGTATTAATGATATGAGTGTCTTGAGGAGTGAGTGTATAGGGCATGGGTGTATTCCTGTTAGCAGCAGAAAGACATTTTGGAGGTTCCTAAATTTGAGAAGAGGGAATAATGTGCTTTCTGGCGTAGTGGAATTGCAGTAACAAATGTATAAGGGATCATAAACTAAGCATTATGAGTGTCTGGAATGTTTCAGGAAAAATAAAACAAGTACCCTGCAGTTCTGCAGAATAAACTCTGGATTTTTGACATGCATGTTTGTTTACCATGGAGGTCTGAATAGAGGTCTGACCACCAGCTCAGACCTGTCTCGTGAGCTGTGGTGGATGCAAGTAATGTAACGAAGAAGGTGTATTTGCAAGCTAGGGAGACAGAAGGTACTGTTTACCTTAGTACCTACTCAGCCAGCCAAACACTTTTCAACACGTGGGATGGTCAAAATGAGGGCCAATCCTGACAAAGTAGCAAGAACAGCAGAGGGAACTCTGGTAAGTTCTGCAAACTTTTCTTAGTTTTCTAGTAGCTCTTCTGTGTTAGCATGTCATGCAGCTTTCCTTTTCCTTTTTTCTTCCCCATGTTTGAGTTCACAAAAGTATGTTTGTTGCTGTTGGAAAAAGAATGCTCTCAAGTCATAAATAAACAAGGAAGGCAGAAATTTATATGAGGTAATGAATAATACATGTTCATATTGTAAAATCAAGATGCTTTCTGTTTAAGACATGAATCTAGGAAAATTATAGTGAATGTTCAGGTACTTGATAGAAGACTATTAAGGCATGTATTGAAACATCAGTGAAATTGGCAAAATGGACACTGGTGAAAGTTCTTTTTGAGAAATGAAAGAATATTCTTCTCATTTTGTAGATTTCCTGCACTGAATACTCTTTTTTGTGTGGCTTTCCTGGACTGTTTAATTACATTTCCTGTCAAGGATGTGCTTTTAATCTTGTGCAGTGAAACTATTTCAGGTTTTTTTAGTATCATCTTTAATATTGTGTTCTCTCCTTGAGGTTTAAGAGTGACAGTATTGTGGTTTTATTTCCATCTTGCAAGACCATCCTGAGTGAACCAGAATGGAGGTCTATCAAGTGTTGTTAATTTTAGTAAACAAATGCCTGTCCAGGTTTGGCCTGCCATGCTATCTGTGTGTTTCTATGTTTGGCAGATGTTCTGGGGTGCCACTGAGAGTCTGTAAATAAATTAGTATTTTTTTTTTACTATCAGCCTTCTGCTAGCTTCCCTGGAATTCTTTTCAGGCATCTGCTAACAGTCTCTCTCACCTTCAGCGATGGTTAATTCATGATGGTGGTGGTGCTGTAAGCGTGCAGCAGTGAGCTTGCTTTGCTCACAGTCTAACTTCTACACCCCCTCTGGAAGCAGACTAACAAAATGTTAGGGAGAGTTTTTGGGTTTATTGCCTGCTGTTACTGCTGTGACTAGTATGTGTCTCATTGCTATACTCAAGCATCCTTGAAATAACATGAAAGTGAAAAAGGAACTTCACAGGTCATATTTACAGAGCTACTGAAGCAGACACAGGAGAATGGCAGTTGAGCAAGAGGAAAGCATAAGTACAGGGAAAGCACGCTGGGGGAGTGTTGGGGGGGAGGGTGTGTTTTGGTCCCCCAGGAACATGATATTTTGTCTGAGGAAGCAAAGAATGCTGCAGGAGTTGACACAGAGCACTTGATCTATGAAGTTGCTCAGTCCTGCTCGGATTTCTCTTGATGAAGGTTATGCTTTTGGTCTTTTTTATGGAGCTTTTAATCCTATGTCTTCAGTGGTAAAGAAGCTCATTCTCCCAAGCCATATGGGTTAACACTGACAAAAGGAAAAAAAGATTGAGTTTGGAGTCCTGAGGTGTATGGGTCAGGCGAAGAGTTAAGTCAGGACCCTGAACTTTAGGAAACCAAATTTCCAGCTCTTAAAGGGTTAAACTGCACATCTCTTTGGCTGAAATGTGATGGAGATGTAAAACATACAAAGTACAACTGTCACTTCTCAACTTGATTTTTTGTCTCTTGTATTAAGAAAAAAGCTCTTGTAGATTTCTCTGTGGAGAGAATTGTGAAGTAAAGAAAGCTATTTTGTAGCCTACTTGCTAAATTTCATTCTTGCTAGTGTCTTCAGATTAATGATTTGATCTATGAGCAATTTTCACATGTGGAAGGATTGACACAGATGTTCTCATAACAGGAACAGATGAAGGAAATCAACAAACTCATTTATTTATTTTCATAATAGAAGGTCAAACCCTAAATTAAAGCTATTAAAGCTATGGAATAAAAAACCCAAAGACTGAAAAGCTGACCAGTGGCTTGCATGGATTAACAGTGTGCATTTTTCTTAAAAGTAGCAGAGTGCGAATTGTGGTTGTCGCCACTAGATGGTCCTCTCGTTACAGTTACTGGTTGGTAGGCAGTATCTCTAAAGCTGTATTTATCCTTGAACTGATTCTACAGGTGTATTTACTGCAAGACTTAAAAGCACTTTCTGCAAACCTCTATAGCTAAAAGTGTGTTATCGATGGAAACAAAATGTATTCTGTTGGTTGTCGAACTTTAGCAAAAAGGAGAAATGAACTTGACCCTTACTTTCAGCACAACTATTAAAAGGCCAGGGATGTGAGAAATGAGAATGAAACCCCTTATAAGTTTAGCTGGAATCCTAAACAAAGCTAATGGAAATGTTTAAAAATAGTAAATGGGAAACACCTACAAAGATGAAATAAAAGTCAAGCATAGTGTAGGCAGGGCTAGTTGTGACTTACAACTTTAAAAATCTGTGGCAAAGGAAAGGATTATAATGCAGAACTTTACATTTCTTTACTGCTTTAGCTTTATGTTTGTTCCTTGCCGTCTCTGAACACTAATGCTAAAATGTAAAGAAAAAACTATCAAGAAGGGCATAGGAAGATCAACTATTCATTTTATATTTAAAAAAAAGTGTGTTGTTAGCCCAGACTTTCAAAAGCAGAACTTAACTTTTAAGACATTGCCTTTGTTGTTTAGAATGTGTCTCCTTTCCATATTTCTGAATCTTCCTCATGATCTTAGAGCTATAAGTTGAGTTTGTCATCCAAAACTCCAATTCTAGCATATGAGTTGTTTTAGAAACGATGATTCATGATAAAATTATGAGTCAGTGGTGCTGAACACTGTTTTTTAATGAAGTGAACTCTTAACCTAGCCACAGCATGTCACAGCCCTTAAGTAATGAACAGATTATAAACTTTATGTTTTACTTCAGATATAAAATTTAAAGAACTCGAGTGTGCTCTACCTTAAGCTCTTTTAATTTTTTTTTTTAAGAAAATGAAGGTAAAACCCCATATTTTTTCTGATTTATGTTGTATCCTTACCTATGGTGAGGACTCAACTCTATAAAGATTTTACTTTATATAAAGCCATTTATCACATAATTTTTATAAGGTCAGGTTATACTATTATGGCATCATGCAATTACGCCACCAGAGGTTGCTGTGATAACAATTCAACTTTCATTATATGAAGTGATGTGTGCTGATAGTTTAGAGTATCTTGGAAAGTATTTTCTGGTTTCACAGCTGTAGTATGTTGTTCTGGGTCTTTATGAGTCAAATACCAATGACTTGGTATTTGACTCAAGCTCATTATTTAAGATGATGAGCTCATTAGAGAGGTTAAGTTTGGAGGCAGCCTGGGCTGTAGCAACCATGCCCCGGTTGTGATCTCAAGGTGTGTGGGCCTGGTGAGGCACAAAGTCAGGACCCTGAATTTTGGAAGAGCGAACTTCCAGATGTTTAAGGAGTTGGTGAATGAGATCCCCCAGGAAACTGTCCTTAGGGACAAAGGAGCTGACGAGAGCTGGCAGCTCTTGAAGGACACTTTTCTTAGAGCGCAGGGCTCTCCATCCCAATCAAGCAAGGCTGGCTGGACACTAGTATGGATGAGCAAGGATCTGCTCCTCAAACTGAGGAGTAAGAAAGAAATGCACAGCCAGTGGGAACAAGGACAGATGACCTGGGGAGAGTACAGGAATATGGTTCAGATGTGTAGGGATGGGATCAAGAAAGTCAAAGCACTGATGGAACAGGACTTGGCAA